AAATCTGCCAGGAGAGTTAACCAGAATAAAGAGGCTAGGATATTTTAAAGCTTTTCTTAGATATTTCCCTCCAGAAGCGTTACCCTAATTCGCTGTACTACTAGTTAGTAGTTTGCGAGTGCCAATTGTACTCTTAAGTGTTGAGTTCTGGATTAATGTTCTTTTGCCTGTTTAAAATGGCTTCTAAAGAGAGATTGTGGACTGTTTTTTAGAAGCTAATAGGATGTTAAAAGAGTACAGTTACATTAAAGTGAACAGTGCAGATTACAGGGCCCAGACCTAAAAGATGTATATTATTTCCTATTGGTGTCTTAGAGTGTGACACAAATTTTGTGGCTTCAACAACAAATATTTGCCTGTGACTGGGTGTGGCTCAGTTGGTCCCATGCACCCAAAGGTCGCAGGTATGATTTCCCGTCAGGGCACATGCCCAGGTTGCTGGTTCGGTTCCTGGTTAGGTTGTGTACAGGAGGCAACCTAACGATGTTTCTCTCTCACATGGAAGTTTCCCTCCCCCTCCCCCTCCCCCTCTCCCCTTTCTCTCACCCAAGGATATTTTTCCCATTGATTTTTATGGAAGGGAGGGAGGGAGACAGACAGACAGACAGACAGACAGACATCAATTGGTTGCCTCCCACATGTGCTGGCACCCTGGGCCGGGGTCAAACCTGCAACCTGGGTATATGCCCCCTGACTGGGAATCAAACCCACAACCTTTCAGTCCATGGGCCAACGCTCTAACCACTGACATAACTTTGGCATATTGGGATGACGTTCTAAGCAACTGAGCTACCGGGCCCGGGCCAGACATATTTTTTAAACTGTTTAATTTGCTTCCCTGGTTGTATCATCTGTATTGCACAATGTTAACAAAATAAAGCTGGGATACTTTTCAATAAGTCAGCTATGAGTTTTGGTAAACACAAACTGAAACAAACACATAGGAATGATAAAGATGGCCGAATTTTCTTTTAAGAACTTATATTCCATATATTTTGCTTGATTATGCATGTGCAGAAAATTGTCCAGTTTTTTTTAAGTGGGTAGGTATAATTGTTAGAGATCATATTATTGACTCTGTTCTTCGATATGTCATTAGTATATTCATATATTCAATAAATATTTATTCAGCACCTATTGTGTCTGGCTCTTTTGACATATCAGTGACTAAATGAGGTCCCACTTTTTAAAATTATATAGTTGGTTGGAAGATGATAAACACTATAGAGAAAGGTAGAACAGAGTGAAGGATGCCAGGAGGAAGGGCAGGTTTTGGTGTTAAATAGGGAGGTACAGGAGGCCTAATTAAGAAAGTGACGTTTGAATCAAGACCTGAAGGAGGGTGAGGGAAGAGCCACTTGGCCATGTGGGGGAAGAACATCCCTAAGATGGGACTGTGCTTGACGTCTTCAAGGAATCCCCTGGAGCTAGTGTGGCTAGTGTGGAGTCAGGAAGCAGGTGTGATCAGAAAGCTAAATGGACTGGGAGAAAGGCTTATCTTTTAGTTATTTTGATATCACTCGTTTTTTTTGTATACCCTTAAACACTTACACTAAATTCTAATTCATGTGTTATTTGATAGGTAGAAATTACTTGATAATGTGAATATTGTTGTAGTATATTTAGTATGTAATATCAGAAGTTTCTTTGGCAAACAGTAGCAGGAGCTCCACAGTGGCCTCATGATTCAGTTATAACCATCAAAAGGCTTACCTTTTAGAACCTTAAACTACTAGTTTGTAATGAGATGGATTCTAAATAATAAATGTGCATGTTGTCAGAATTTGGAAATTTTAAATACTTAAAGAGAAAATTAAAATTACCATACTCCTATTACAGAAATGACTGTTAACTTTTTTATATTATTTCTCTTGCATTTTTATTCTCCCTCATGTATATAATAGGTGTATTTGTTTTAACTTACTTAAGATTTTATTATGTATTGTATCGATATATTTTTGTCTTCTCTTCTGATTATACCTAAGTATTTCCCCATGTTATTAAATGTTCTCACTAGCATAATTTTTAATAATATGATGTACCATTACTTATTCAATAATTTTCTAATTTTTTTTACATTTAGACTATTTAGTCATTATAAGTGGAGCTGCTATGAACATTTTTGAACATAAACATTTGTCCTTTTCTAAAAAAAAAATCTGCCAGGAGAGTTAACCAGAATAAAGAGGCTAGGATATTTTAAAGCTTTTCTTAGATATTTCCCTCCAGAAGCGTTACCCTAATTCGCTGTACTACTAGTTAGTAGTTTGCGAGTGCCAATTGTACTCTTAAGTGTTGAGTTCTGGATTAATGTTCTTTTGCCTGTTTAAAATGGCTTCTAAAGAGAGATTGTGGACTGTTTTTTAGAAGCTAATAGGATGTTAAAAGAGTACAGTTACATTAAAGTGAACAGTGCAGATTACAGGGCCCAGACCTAAAAGATGTATATTATTTCCTATTGGTGTCTTAGAGTGTGACACAAATTTTGTGGCTTCAACAACAAATATTTGCCTGTGACTGGGTGTGGCTCAGTTGGTCCCATGCACCCAAAGGTCGCAGGTATGATTTCCCGTCAGGGCACATGCCCAGGTTGCTGGTTCGGTTCCTGGTTAGGTTGTGTACAGGAGGCAACCTAACGATGTTTCTCTCTCACATGGAAGTTTCCCTCCCCCTCCCCCTCCCCCTCTCCCCTTTCTCTCACCCAAGGATATTTTTCCCATTGATTTTTATGGAAGGGAGGGAGGGAGACAGACAGACAGACAGACAGACAGACAGACAGACAGACAGACAGACAGACAGACAGACAGACAGACAGACAGACAGACAGACAGACAGACAGACAGACAGACAGACAGACAGACAGACAGACAGACAGACAGACAGACAGACAGACAGACAGACAGACAGACAGACAGACAGACAGACAGACAGACAGAAATTGGTTGCCTCCCACATGTGCTGGCACCCTGGGCCGGGGTCAAACCTGCAACCTGGGTATATGCCCCCTGACTGGGAATCAAACCCACAACCTTTCAGTCCATGGGCCAACGCTCTAACCACTGAGCAACAGCTAGGGCAGATCCTTTATTTTTTAATTGGGCTCTGTATTTTTTTATTATTGAGTTCTAAGAGGTTTTTTTTTTTTTAAGTTTGGA